GATATCTTTCCAGCCATTGTACTAGAACAGGCTAACTATTTTTCAACTGTTTTCTCGTTCACTCCTTAACAGAAGAAATTCCCTAAATTGCTCATTTTTATATCCGAATATAAGATCCCTTGGATATTTAAGTGGCACTATGGCATTTCTGATGATGTGGTCCAATGGATACATTCGGTTAAATGGTGGGATAATTATAAAATTCCCCGCATTGTTGAACTTGTTCAAACTGAGTTCCCTATTAACATTCATGCTCCTACACCTGCCATGGTTAAAGCTCAGCAGATCCCAACTGCTTCAATTACCCAAGGAAGCCAACTTCCTATTGTTAATCTTGGAAGCCCAACTTCAAGTTCTTCCAAGCCCAAGTCATCCAAATTAAAGATTCAATCCACCACTGCTAAGCCCAGCTCTGCTCAGCCTAAATCACAGGATAAAGCAAAACCCAAATCTACTAAAGCAAAGTCCAAGGCTAAATCTACAACTCCTGTATCTCCTGCTAAGTCCAAGGTTAAAACCAAGTCATCCAGAGATGAGCTTCTGAAGATGGCCCGCTTTCTTGTTGATTAGGCTGAAGCCCAGTCAGATTCGGATAATTTGGATAACAACAAGTCAGAAGAAAGTTCAGACAGTTCAAACTCTTCTGAAGGATCAACTACTCAAAACCCATATGGACCCGAGTTTCAAGGTGCTCAGGACCCAAATGCCTAGTCAGCCCTGCATTGGATTCCATATAGATACAAATTAGCTTCAATCAATACTCTTTTGAGAAAAGCTGCCAATTGGTATTTATATTGATTCATTTATTTACATATCTCCATCGAAAGTAATGAATAGTAAAAAGTCACTATTCACTTTTACTGTTCATCACTCAATCAATCTACTAAAAGCTGCTTCAACTTTTGTCAATCAGCCGAAAGCATCCGACATCCTGCTTTTGCCCATATGCTGCCAGCTGCTCTCATGATCAACCCCAAGTCAAATGCTGCATAGTTAATTTTCTTTCTATAAATTGTAATGGTTAAATCATTTGTGGATAGAGGTTCAAAATTGAAAAGTTCTGTGTGAGAACTGAGTGAGAACCAACACCTAGTCAACTAGTCAATCTGTTTTAGTTTAAATGTATTTTGAAGCAATCTACTACTATTGCAACGTTTGTTAAACAATTGTAAGTTATTATTTTATTAAAATGTTTTTGTTTTAAATATTTTGTGCTATTTCAATTATCAATTATTTGTATTTCCGTTCTTCTTCTTCTCTATCTCTGCTTCCGTTCCCCTTTAAAAGTGAAAATTTTGTTACAAAAGACATTTAGAGATTAGTTTCTATCGTCATGAGGATAATCGCTAAAAGGTCGTTCCGAAAAGTAAAAAATAAGGCTTTTAGCAACAAAATTTTGAAAATGTCACTAATAAATAGACTTTTAGGGACAAAATAATTTGGTCTCAAAATGACTTATTTTTTTAGGCAAAAAATTTGGTCCCAAAAGGATAATAATTCATTACTAATGTCTAATTTTCATTACTAAAAATATAATAACAATACTTTTCGTAACAAAAATATTTGGTTCTTAAAAAATAATTTTGTCTCTAAATTTTAATATCTAAAATCTTAATTTTTTTTGTAGTAAAAGTGAATGATATCAAGTAATTCTTTCTACCCAAAAGAGAAACAATATGAAAGACTCATAATCAATCATAGCCATTGTTAATTAGAAACATTTTTCTACACCCTCTATCATTTTAAATTAATTAAAAAAAAAATGCTGTAAAAACTTGAATGCGTAACCATCATCTGATGGGATTACTCTTGGGGACATAAGATCTTCGATGTGCGCCCAGATGGTGGTGGGAGCCCTTTCATGTGCACTGCATATGATCATTGTATGAGTGGAAAAATAGTACAGTGATATTTTTATGTTTTATAAAAAAAATAAATACAATTTTTTGGAAACATATTGAATATTTATTTATTTTTAAATATGATAAAATTATTATAATTATTAAATTAATTTTACTTTTTATAAAAAATTTACATATGGTAATGTATAAAATAAATAAATCTAATTATTGAAATAAAGGTTAAATGAATCAAGAATTCAAACTTGATGTATGTTAAACTCGTTAAAAATTCATTCGAGATCTAATCGGTATTTTAAGTTCATTAATAAGTCAAAGTTTCTTCTTTTTTGCCGATTAAAAAAAAAAAAATTTCAAATCAAAGTTAAACAACCTTCTACTCGGTTCAATAATTTTACATACATTATAAAAAAAATTAAGTCACTTGAACTTGACTCATATTCAACTCATTAAAATAAGATTGACTCATTATATAAACAAATCAATTTGACCGCATTAAGTTTTTTAAATTAAATTTCAACAATCTATTACTTTGACTGGTTTATAGCCCTACTCATAATAAAAATATGGATTTGAACTATACCCATTAGAGTAAACTGAAGAGAAATCAACCCTCCCGAGTTGGCCTAGTAGTATACGTTTGAGATATGAGAGTTTGTTCTTTTTTAGATCTCAAGTTGAAAACTTTTTAGGTGCTATCAATTCTTGTGTTAGGTCAGTCTATACGGAACTCTGCTCTAACTTTAATTGTGTCCCTCCTAGTAGACGGTGAGATTGGCTCCCATAAATTAGTTGAGGTACGCGTAAGTTGGCTCGGATACTTTGAATTATGAAAAAAAAATTAAAAAAAAATGATAAGAGATGTCTACGTCCTTAATTTTTTTTTTTAAAAGAAATAAAAAAAGAAAAGAAAATTACACTCAAGGTCGAGACCAAAAGAGAAACCAAAACGACCTATACATATAAATAAATATATCCAAAATTTGACCATATATATATTAGATGAACTTATTTGGGTGCTTCTGGTTGAAGTATTGTAGATTTTTATCCATGATAGAAGATGTAAGATTTAATTACAAGGTGTGGTGGTGGTCCATCAAGTACACTTCTCATTTGCCTTGCATATCAAGCAATCTCAACCTTCTCTCTGTCTCTCTCTCTCTCTAACATTCATGCCAATTGAATCATGATCAGCACCCCTGCTCAGAACCCATGTGAGTTCTTTTTATCTTTTTCTCTGATGTTTCCTATTTTTCACACTCCATCCCCCTCCCAAACGCACACACATATATTATATAATTTTAAATAAGGATATTAAGATATGATATGTATATATATTAATAATACAGTGATATATCAACGGATATTGAACAGTTTCTACTAGTATATAGTTGAATATTGATGTCAAAACATATTTAAAATCTTGATATCTACATAAAAAAAGGACCAATGATATTATTATATTTTGATCGACATTGAATAATATTAATCAATATGTCAATCAATGTATTAGTGAATATAAATATAAAAAGTTCAAAACCCGAGATTTGAAATGTTGATATCTACATAAAAAAAATTAATGAATATAGTAGAAAAATTGGAATAATGGTGCTTATTTGGGATTATATATATAAAAACTGTTAAGAATTTGCTGCTTTCGTATTTTTTACTCAAAGCAAATTTAGTACTGCCACGTAGGCTATGAAGTTTGGACTTTTCTCTAGACAAGAATTTTCATGTGCAACTAACTTTATTGATAATTCATAACAAACTTTTACTATGAAAATACAAACAACACAGTTATATTATTATAATAATAGTATATTATATGATTAGTTTCAATAAATTAGGTATAATATAGATGGGTTGGCTGTGCCTTTTGAGTATTATCACCTGCCTTGTTAACAACAGCTGTGAAAGCCCTTTCTTAGCTTTTCCTGCTTTGTTAGTCTCAAGAGACTCAACAACAAAGGTGTGGGAGATCTTAAAGCCTTTAGAGGTATATAAAAATAAATAAATAATAAAAAAAGAAAGGAAAAAAAAAAATACCAGACCTAGAAAAAAACTAGTATGACCCAAAATGATCATGATTCACATATTTTAAATTTTAATCACTTGATTTATTTTTTTTGGTAACAAGTTTAAGAAGTCAGAAATCAAACAGAGGACAAATACACAAACGAAGCAATGCTGTGAATCTAAATAAAAATAAATAAATAAATAAAATTGCCAAGAATTTGAGTATTTGAAGTAGATTAAACTCGGTGTGAATAATGAATATAATCCATACATTTTAAATTATGATTACTTTTTTAGATATTTTAATGAGTTGTAAGTTCATAAATACAAAAATCAAACACATAACCAAGCACAAAAAACATATAAATAGCATAATTTTATAAGATTTTTTGGTGAGCCCACTTTTGAAATTTTTTGTTCATGAATATATTTTGTGTATAATTTTATGATTCTTTAGATTTGCTATTTTTTTCTTAGTATCTAGCATTGTTAGAAAAAATGACAAGGTTCAATTGGACTAAGTTGAGGAACTATAGCTAGCTCCACTTTGGGCCTTCTTCAGTGATTCTTAACTTGTAAGGCCTATCGAATGCTCAAGCGGTTGGGCTGTACGTGGTTTAGATTTTAAGTTTAATACTCACTAGTTTCAATACTCACTAATTTTAATAAGTTCGTTTATTCTGGTTTTAAATGAGATCTTCGCAAGTGAGCAATGAAAATGATCTTTTGTGATTAGTAGAGGTACATATAAACTAACCTAAACACTCTATCATCAAAAGAAAAAAAAAGATATACTGAATAGATTATTCATGTAAAATATCAGATTGATTCGACATTAGTAACTGCATAATAGGAATACATTTATTTTAGAAAAATGAACTGTATATTTGATTTTATTAAAAATAAACAGTTTATTTTCTACAACAAAATGTGATTAAATTAAATAATTATTAATATATGATCGATTTAATTTTTTGTATAAACAATTTAGAAAAATGATTTAGATCACAGTTAAATATAGAGTGGGCTTACAATCTTCTTATGACCCTCCACTAGACTAATTCAACTTAAGAAAAGACTTGTCCTTGAAAAAAAAAAAAAAACATAATCATGAAGAACAGATTTTCTTTCTATTCTCTCTCTCTCTCTCTCTCCCCTCTGCCCTTAACTTTCTCTTTCCTAAAACCGCCTACATGAGCAGCTTAATTTAGCAAAGAGTTAAAGGTGGTATATATGGTTTGAGTCACCTTTTCCTTTATCTCACTGGCTTCAGTTAAAGTTGAGGGACTTCTGGTGTTTTCCTTGCTTAAAGCAGGTTTTATAGCTCAAACCCTCCTACTCTCACAGTTTCTTCTCTCTCTCTCTCTCCTCTTCTTCCACCACCTCTTCTCTCTCATCTCCCTTCCCCTTATCAGTCTTTCTGACTGAATATTTCCACTTTTGGGGTAAATATATCACTTGGGTTTTGTTCAATTTCTTATTTCAAATTGAGTTTTCATATTCTTATTTGCTTATATATTTTTTCTTTTTATTGTTTCTGAAGTTTCCATTAAATTTCATGTTGTTCTTGTTGATGCATCTCTTCAACTTATAACAAACATATTTCAGTATTTTAAATTAGATTAATTTTCATGATTTTATGTTCATATCCCTAACATACCTGTCAATTTACTATTGTTTTTTCTTTGTAGTTTGACACGACATCGGATCGATCTCTGTCGGTATTATTAGGACTCTTGTTGAACACTATTTCTTGATATCAAAGTCCCAACTCTAGAGACCTAAATTGGTGCATGAGAAGAGAGAATTTCATGGAAGATTGATAAAAAAAGAAAAAAGAAGGCACCGCCTGTTCGCTCTAGCGATGAATACAAGTCAGTTGGGTTCGATTAGTAGCTCTGATCTCATTGATGCAAAGCTGGAAGAGCATCAGCTGTGTGGATCTAAGCAGTGTCCCGGTTGCGGACACAAGCTTGAAGGAAAGCCGGTACGGATTATATTATGTCTCATAAATATTCTTGGCTTCAACATCAAGATTTTGAGAAAAAAGAAGAATCAAACAAGATAAAGAATTATTCTTGCTGTTTGATTTTCTGAGAAATCTTATTTGATATATAGTATTATTGCCTTTTGAACTAGAACCAAATCTAAATTCGAAATAGAGTTCCTTTTTTTTTTTCTTTTTTTTTTTCTTTTTCTTTATGCTTTTATTTTAGATTTATTTTTTTTATTTTTTTGAATTTTTGTTGAACTTGAATGGAGTTTGCAGGATTGGGTAGGTCTACCAGCAGGAGTGAAATTTGATCCAACAGACCAAGAATTGATAGAGCATCTTGAAGCAAAGGTGGACGCTAAGGACTCAAAATCTCACCCTTTGATTGATGAATTCATCCCTACCATTAAAGGAGAAGATGGGATTTGTTATACTCATCCTGAAAAACTTCCAGGTCAGAAATTAAATCTCTCTCTCTCTCTCTCTCTGATAGAAACATTCTCCTTTGCGGTACAAGATTGTGTACATTTGACCTTTCGCAGACTCTACGGTGATAAGAGTCTTCATGCACTAAACTATTCATGATTTAAATAACAGTGTTACAATATATATGAATATTGACAATACAATCATGTATCGACTAAAATGATACAATATTGACTAATCCCAATATGTATCAAACAGATTTGTAGATGTATTCTTCTACAAATATTTCATAAATTCAATGTGTTAGGTTAGGTTTTAATATGTAACCTCTTTCAAGTTTCAAAATTGAGCTATAATTTCTTGGTTTTCTAGTGTTTCTTTTATCACCACCTCATGTTTGTTATGACTTTCAAAAACCCTTATTGTCCCACAGTTTGTTACACCTAGTCCACCTAACTTTGGCTTTGCCTAAACATGCACTCTTTTCTCTCAGGAGTCACCAGAGATGGCTTAAGCAGGCATTTCTTCCACAGACCCTCCAAGGCATACACAACCGGTACAAGAAAAAGACGAAAAATTCAAACCGAATGTGACTTGCAGGGTGGCGAAACCCGGTGGCACAAGACTGGAAAGACGAGACCAGTCATGGCAAATGGCCGGCAGAAAGGGTGCAAGAAGATTCTAGTACTCTACACAAACTTCGGCAAGAATAGGTATGTGCCAGCCTAATTATTGGAATCGTGATTTAAATAACAATATTGGAATACATATGGTATCAATTATACGGTCATATATCAGGTCATCTATCATTGAATACAATATCAGAAGTTCAAAATTCCATTTAAAACCATGCTTGGGATGTGCCTGTCAATGGTCTTAGCTTTTCTCCCTAACTCTTATTATCTCGCTATATTTCTATATTTCGAGCTAATAAATTTTCTTTTTGTCGATTAAAAAAAAAAAAAAATTGGCAAGAATAGGAAACCAGAGAAAACCAATTGGGTGATGCACCAGTACCACCTGGGTCAGCATGAAGAAGAGAAGGAAGGAGAGCTTGTGGTGTCAAAGATATTCTATCAGACTCAGCCAAGGCAGTGCAATTGGTCGGATCGGAGCGGAGCTGCTGCTGCCGGAGAAGGAAACAGTACTGAGCCTAACAGCAGGAGAGGAGAGAGTGGGAGTTGTTCTTTGAAGGAATTGGAAGTGATAACTCAGAGAGATGAACTGTCTGCAGTTGGGGTTGGTGTTGGGGCTGCAATGTCAAGTTACAGTGCCATTGATATTCAACAATTGAAAGCTGACCATTTTAGCTATGCCCCATTTAGGAAAAGCTTTGATGAGGTATATATACATATATAATTATATATGTGCATACATGCATGCATTCTTGTTCATTCATACAATTGTTTGCTAAAGACAGATTGCCATATAAAACAGTGACTAAATACCCATTAAAGGTTGTACATAATAATATATGACAAGTTTTAATTTTATTATTTTAAAGCAAAAGATTCTTTAAGGCGGTTTAGATTTTGAAAATTAACACTGTCACATTATTTTTGTGAAAAATTATGTATGAACTTATGGTATGAATATCTTTTTCCAAACAAGTACGATAAAAGATAATGCTATGCAAATATAATTCTTTTAAAAAAATTCCATATATAATTATGTGACTTTTTGTATTTTTTTCATTTCACCTAGCATTGTGATTTTTATTTTTAACAACAAAATTAGTCATTTTAACATTACTCTATCAAAACTTCTATTCATGTTGAAAAAAAATATATACAGAAAACATCGTGAGAATTACACGAAAATGTCAATTTTGTAAGGGCAAATTATACTTATAATCCTTATATTTTGTCTTATGTGTCATTCTGATTCTTACACTTTTAATTGATTCAATTTTGATCTTTAATTTTGAATTTTGTGTTAATTTGGTTCAATTGATAATGATGTTAGTATTTTTGATGAAAAATTATCATTAAATTGGTTGAGGTTACCTCACTGAATTGAGCAAGCTTATAGTTTTGTCCCTAAAAGTACGACATTTACCACTTGTGCGCACATTGTTCTTTAAAAAATACTAAAAGCTATAATCAATTAGACTAAATTGAGAAAAAGTTATAAATTTAGGGTCAAAATCGAGTTGAACTTTTCACTTTATTGATTGTATCTTTGTTCTTCATTGAAGTAATCAATAGAGTTCTCTTTTGCATATAAAAAAAAAACAAAAAAATGACGTAAAGATTAAAATATAAGGACTACCTCCATAATTTATCCATTTTGTAAATAAAAAATTACTCTTTATGAGTGTTTATTTTAAAGTGAAAAGTTCACATTAAATAACAGTGTTCTATATAAAAATTATATAAAATTTTTATATTTATATTACTCTTACTCTAAATTCTCCATGTGCGTGTTGCTTTTTTTCTTCCTTTCTTCTTCTTCTTCTCCTCTTCCTTTTTTGTTTTATTTTTATTTAACATCAACTGAGCCATATATACATGTTGAATAAAATAGGGAATGGGAATGAACTCAAAAGCTCAAGGGTTGCTTTTCTTATATACATCTTGCTTGCAATGCACACATTATGAAAACTCCTTGGACCTCACTTGACAAATAATTGTCATCTAACAAAACATCCCTATTAGTTACACACCAAAAGAGAGGAGAAGAAAAACTAAAGCAATATACAAATTGAAAGAGAGAACTGAGAAGGATAAAGAGAATAAAGGAAAAACATAGCAAAAGAGAAGTAGTGAAGGGGCTTGAAAATAGACTTCTTAGCTAGCAAATGTCGAATTGTGAATTGTGAACAACCATTTCAAATTATATTCTCGACACACTAATCACGTGCGGTAATACTTTCCTTCATAAGTAGAATACATGATTTCATTGTCAACTCTATACTATATTGAAATTGTTAATTATTAACTCATCTAAAATATTGAGCTGTTCGATAGGAGTAATTTTATTATTTACATTCTCAATATTAAAGTTTGTTGCAGGCTAGAGTGGGCGAGGCTTCAACTACAAGGGAGGCATCCGCGTCAGGCACTTGCGAAGAGCATAACCTCCACGAGCTCCAAAGGCCGCGTCACGCGATCCATGAACAACAACAACAACAACATCAACATCACCAGATTGCTTCGACAGCCTTCCACATTAGTAGGCCTTCACTTCCCATTTCCACCATCATCTCTCCACCTCCCCTCCACCACACCTCCATTATTCTTGATGAGGACTCCTTCCATGTCTCCAGAATAATGCTCCAAAATGAAAATTTCCAGGTAACCAAACAACCCCCAATTCATGTTTCCTCAAACAACCCCCCACCTCCTTTTTTTCTCATATTCTTAAAATTATCACATGTTTGAGTCAAATTTTTTTTAAAAAAAAAAAAATCTGTTTGAGTACTCGTGCCAGACATATTTGGGTAGAAGTAAGGGTATGAGATGTCCAATACACCTTTTTTTTTAAAAAAAAATTTAAATTGAATTTATTTACTTTTTATTTTTTTATCCAATACACCTAGTTAGACATACAATAAAAAAGTAGATGTAAATAATCAAATTTACTATATCAGTATGCACTTCACTTTTATGCATAAAATGCTATATTTTAGGAAAATACTCTATATAAGCAGATTTTTTACTAGAGTGCTGCTATACATAAATGGATTTTTTTTAATCAAGTTTTTGTTTTTTATTTTACACAGTTAGTAGTCCAAATTAATAAATACAAGTGAGACCCATTGTTTTGTGTGTAACAGTAAAAAAATCTAGTGAAAAATCTGTTTATGTAAAGAATTTTCCTAAAAGATAAAAAGAAGTATTTACCAAATGTAAACCTAGTTGTATAATGATATCTTGACTTGAAAATTAGATAAATCCCTCACCTAGAAACATATTAAAACGACATTGACACATACTATATCTGAGTCTATGTGACTTAGAACCAAGTTGCAAACAAGTAATTATGTGCACTTTTTGCAAACAATACATGATCGTATCGATGATTATGTCTTATTTGTTTCTAAAAGACTATAACTTTTGGCAGCAACAGCAGCAACAACATCATAAACTAGGTGGTAGGTCTGCATCTGGGTTGGAAGAACTCATAATGGGCTGCACATCAAATGCTGCTGATATGAAGCAAGTGAGTGTTTCAACTTTTTGACTCTGAAATTTATGCGCTTTATGTGTCACAGTACTACTGCTATCAATTAAGCATGGAATGGAACAAAGAAAAGGTAATAGGTGAAGGGTTTAAAAAGGACAGATATTACAATGTTATTCGATTCTAAATTAGAGAGAGAGTGAGAGAGAGTAGCTAGAAGCCTTTTTCTTTTTCTCTTTATCTCTTTTCTTCTTTTCTCTTTCTCTTTTTATGTTTTGGAGATATTATTGATTTCCATAGATGATAATTAAAATAAAAAAAAAAACCTGCAAACACAACAAAAAAAATAGTTTTTTTTTTTTTTTTTTTATAATGCAAAAAAATAAAACTTTATTGATGAATCACAGGTATACAAATATAGCAACAGACATCAATTAGCTACTGAACATTAAAATAGAATTTTACCTTTTTTTTTTTTTGGTATGTTTATATTTTTGGGTTAATTACACTTTTAACTCCGGTAATTTGATCCGAATTTTACTTTGGTCTCTATAGATCCAAATTGAATAGTTTGGTCTGTACATTTTAAATTTAGTTTCAATTTGGTCTTTTCATCCAAATTTCCATTATTTTTTCTTAGATGTACACCTTAAGAGACAACCAATGTCTCAAAATCGTTAATTTTCACCTCCAACTTGAACGAAAGTACCAAACTGAAATTAGATTTAAAGTGGAAGGACCAAATTGTTCAATCTAAAATTGTAAGGATTAAAGTGAAATTTGAATCAAATTATAAGGGTGAAAAGTGTAATTAACCTTTTATTTTTTTATTTTTGTATAAACTACACAAAATGCGAAATGAGAAGTCCATTGTTTGCATAACAAGACCTCTTGTAGGTTATGTTTAGATCTTAAATTTGATGAAAGAAAAATTGAAAGAAAAATAGAATATTTACTTAAACTTATGCTCATCTTTTACATATAACTCAACAAAAAAATTTATTTTTTGACAGATATATATTCATTTTATTATCATGTTCCTAATTCAGCCCAATAAAAAGTGAAAGTTCAGTTTCTACTTATCGAAAGAGAGAGAGGGAGGGAAATTTTATTGTTTCTATTATATATATATTTTATTAGCAAAAAATAACATTATTGATGAGCTCTATTAAATTCTCAACAACACCCTCACATGAAAATGAACAATTTTATTATTTATATTATATTAGTGAGATTCGAACATATCAGTGAGATTTGAACACAAGATTTTTTTTTTTTTTTTAATTTTTCAGCAAAATACTCTGAGTAAAATCTAAAAATGTAAATTTTTTTAAAGAATTTTAAAAACTTTCTAAAAAACCTTGAGCTAGGTGAAGATTTTCCAAGGCAGTTTTTAATTTAAATTTGCTGCTAGTAAGATCAGAATCCTAAGTTCCCAACAGTAAGAACTAAAGAAATTATATGTAAGTAGCAAAGTTTTTTGTCCCAATATTCCATGATATCATTTGACATAAAATACACAAAGACAATGAATAACAATTTAATTTTAAAAGGTTTTAGAAAATAAAGGAAGACAATGACCCAAAAGCTTTCCTCATGCATGTGGTGGCCTCCTAGAAAAATAAAATAAAATAAAGAGAAAGAATAGGAAGAATAATTTGATTGCATGCCAAAAAGGACAAAAAAGATAGTTTCTTCAGTTATGCTTTCACATTACAATAATGTTACATTTATAATATTTTTATATCATATTATACTACTTATAATTGTATTTTTTAACTCAATATTGAAATAATTGTCTCCCCGTCAATGTATATCTCCAATGCAGTATTCACAAGTAAACTAATAAGAATAATGCTTGGGACTCCCTTTTGGGGGTCACCCCCTCACCCCCTTTCCCACGTGGCGGGTGGTGATTGGAGGAGCAGGAAAAAAAAAGAAAAAGAAAAAGAAAATGTAACTAATGAGAGAGAGAGGGGGTCAAAGGGGGTGGGGAGAAAAGGAAGGAAGAATCATTGTTGAACTAATAATATATCAAGTGGCAAGCTAGGATTGTAAAACTAGATAATTATTATACCATTCTCTTCCCAGCATTCGAGAACCACTAGTAATTGTACATTGAATGTTCTTTAATAATTAAATAGTGTTAAAATTACAATTATTATAGGCATTTCACATATTTTTATGTTTTATCAATAATGCTATTCTCTTACCATTTTTATTACTATTTAATGTGGCACATAATTATATAGGACTCATCATTAACAATAATATTCAATTAATGTGTATTCGACATCAATAGTATAATATAAAATGTGGTAAAAACAAATCATTGCAGCATTACCCTATTTTTATTTTTTAAAATATATTTTAATATATTTTTTTTTACAAATATATTAATATTAATCACCAACCAATAAACAGTGTTAACATTTCACATACTCCCTCTATCTCAAAATAATGGTCCCTTTTGGAGAATCTAACTTTTTTTGGTAGTACAATTATTGCATTTGAAAAAAAGTTGATTTTCCAAAATTATCCTTTTTGATAGTACATTTTTTTGGAAATATCAATGTCATAATTGTACTTTTTATATTGTTTATTAATTTAAAAGAAGGAGAAAATAGGAAATTTATATTATTTTTGTACTTGATTTTTGAAGAGAGACTAATATTTTGGGACAATAAAAAATGAAATAAGAAATTAATATTTTGGGATGGAGGGAGTAGGTTTTATTTAGGCTAAGTTTGACTATCCAAAATAAGTACACTTTTTATCTTTTTATCTTTTTTCCATCACATCACCTCTCTACTTTTCTGCACATCTTTTCGTAAAAAGATAAAAAGTACACTTATAGGTCATCCCAAGCAACCCCTTATTCAATCGACAAAAATCAATTATTAGCTCTTAAATTATTTTGCATAGCTTTTATACAAACCCTAACCCTAACTTTGCATTGTTATTCGCAGGAGTCATCCATGACAAACCCACAAGAGGCAGAATGGTTGAAGTACTCCTTCTGGCCTGACCCTGACAACCCAGATCATCATGGGTAGGAGCAAAAAAAGAGAGGAGAAAAAAAAAATATAAAAATAAAAAGAGAATAAACAAAAACAAAAGAGAGACTCAGACAACATCATTGTCACCATCATTTAGTACTTCAAGCCTTCCTCAAGTTCTATTCAGCATGAGGCCAGGAACAACCATCCATGGTTTGCTCTTTTTTCGTAACTTTCTTCTGGGAACCGACAACAAATTAATGCTAGGTACACAGAAAAAAATATATAGAAGAGTGTTCAGAATTTGAAAATGTGTGAATTAAATTATTCTTATTTTAGACATAGTCCACAACCACCAAGTTTAAATCCACACGACAAATTCAATTTTTAGACACTTTTCTAAATATTTTTTCTAGGTAGATAGCATTTATGCTCAACCCGTGTTTGGGAAGAAAGAAAGAAGAATGCAGCACCAAAAAAGCAAAGAGAAAAAGAAAAGAAAAAAGACCAAGAAAGTCTGCTCTCTACTACTGACAAATAGAAGGGAAACCCAAGACCCAATGCAGCATGAAAATCATCAACATTATGATTACAATGTAATCTTTTTGGCTATTCATATTATTTGTTTATTTGTATAATTTCTTTTATTGTTTGTTTTTTAATTTACTTTTTCTTTTAAAACAAGAAACACCACAGGGTTTGTGCAAATTGCATGCAAAAGAGAAACTTTGTTAAAATGTGTTGTGAGTAGTCACTTTTTCGAATAGAATATGTGTATTGGGGCTCGAATGAATTCCCTTTATAGAAAATCAAAATGTACTAAGAATTTTTTAATGTTATTGGTGCCTCACTTTCTCCGCTGCTTTTGAATTTTTTGCCCAATTATATCAGTATAAACATCAATTAGCCTTGCTTAATTAGTTCTTTCATGACCGATCCCATTTATATCCATAGATTTTTTTTTTTTAAAAAAAAAATCAGGCCTAAAGATGATGACGACTTGTCGGCACCCAATTAAACTCGTTTAGATTCTTAATTCTCAAGAAAAATATATAATAAAGCCTATAGTTAGTGATTATTAATGGATAAGATTGTGTAATCATAATGCTTTTCACCTAAGCTTTTAGATCAATAATGGTGAACATTTGTCATTAATTAGATGTCCATTGTATTAGGATTCAACTAATTAAGAACCCAATGTATCATGAGTGGGAATAAATTTGTTAAATTACCATTAATTTGGTCCTGGAATTGATTCTTCATCTAAATCAATGATCTTCGTGTTAAGGATATATATATATTTTTTTGATCGGTAAAAAAGACTTTATTGATGGAAAAGAAAATTTACATCAATAAAGAGGAGTTTGGAGCTATAACAAGTTCCAACCTCCTAGTTGGTGAGAAACCAACGCGCAAAGCAAAGCACAAAACCAGGAAAAAAAAATAATTAGACAGATCAGTCAGCCCTTCCAAGAGTGGAGGCACTATGCTGGTTGCTTTTCTGATCTGGTGTATAACTTCCAGCAGATGTCCATTTCTCGGAGTGGCCCCCATCACAGTAAGCACTCCAAACACCATCAGTGTATAATTCTAGCATTTCCAAAACACCATGCAAAGTAGACCAACCCCGCCTCTACCTAAGCTCAGCAATCACCTAGCAGACCCAGCACCAACAGAAATGCACCCAAGCACTTAAGCAAACTAGCACTCAAACAGACCTTCCCAACAAACCAGCAATCAAGCAAATAAACCAGCAGATCTCTCAGCCAAGTTAATCCTGAGTGAGCAGCCACAAATCAATAGCAAAACCTGCAGCAAGCAAGAGAAATACAAATACCTGGGCAGCATACAGATCAGAGACAGAGGTTTGCAGAACTTGACAGACCAGCATGCCAGCACCAGAGCTGTAATGCTTTCATAGAACTACCATGGACCCCCCAAAACACTTTCTAACCTGCCTCAAATTGAAGACAAAATCATGCACTGAATAATGTAAATCTGAAAGATGTGGTTTTACCCAAAAAACAATCCTATGCTTGATTAGATCACAGAGGTCCTCCAGATTTGGGATGGTTGCCCTAAACAGACACTCGTTTCTGCACTTCCAGATTGACCACATCACTACCAATGGTATTGCTCTCCAAATCTTCTTTTATAGCTTCTTTCACTTCCCTCCAGCCCACCACAGGAGAAAGCTCTCCACAGAGCCTGGAATAACAGCTTGGACATCCCACCAATTTAGCATTTCAGCCCATATCTTCCACACAAAGGGACACCAAAGTAGTACATGATTCACTGATTCACCCTCACTACCACAGAATACACAAGCTGTAGATACACCTTGGTTAATCACTCCCAGCTTCAGTAAGAACTCCTTGGTCTTCAATCTTTTTTTCCATGCAAACCAACCAAAGACCTACACCTTAGGAGGGATATACTTGAGCCATATCAGCCTAGTTATGCTCAGAGAGACTCCAGCAGTGGCCACAACAAACTTATACAAATCTGATGACATCAGACTCCCAGAAGAAGAGGCTACCCAGACAGGCTGGTCAGGGCACTCTGGACACAGCACTGGGGCTGCCAGGAGCATAGTAACTAATCTGTCGAGCTCCAACTTCTCCCAATCATAGACCAGGGACCAGCCACCTGCTGTAATTTTCTTGTCAACCATACCATTCAAAGACTCCTGTTTGTCCAAAGACAACCTAAATAGTGTTGGGAATTCATCCTTCAAGCACACAGAATGGCACCATATATCAGTCCAAAAATAGATCCTCACCCCATCCCCTACCTTCAAGTGAAAATTATTCAGATAAAACACCTTCAAGCTAGTACACTGGTCAGCAACAGAGATGATCCCCTTCCACACTGCTGAGTGACTCATGGATGGGGTGAGAGACGGAATCCAACCACCCGCCTCCATCTTATATTTGCTGCATATAACTCTTTTCCATAAAGCATCATTTTCCTTACCAAACCTCCACCACCATTTAATAAGTAAACAGTTATTTGCAACCCTCAACTGCCTAATACCCAAACCACCTTGATTCACTCTTTTAGACAACTCCTCCCATTTGATCATATGGATTTTCCTCCCCTGTTCAGAACCACCCCATAAGAATTTAGCTTGAATCTTATCCAATTCTGAAGCAACCCCTTCAGGCATCTTGAATAAAGATAAGTAATATACTGGCAAGGCTGAAGTTACTGATTTAGTCAATATGAGTCTCCCCGCAAAAGATAACATCTTCCTTTTCCACCCAGCTAACTTGCTTTTGACTTTGTCCACAACTGGTTTCCAAGTAGCCTTCTTTCTTGGAATAGCACCTAAGGGCAACCCTAAATAGCTAATTGGCAATGCTTTAGTTTTGCAATTCAAATTTGTGGCCATATCATTCAACATCTCCACAGAGACACCCACCCCACAAACAACGCTCTTGTGAAAATTTATTTTTAGGCCAGATATGACTTCGAAACATCTTAGCACCCACTTTAATTTCCTTACCTCCTCCACCTCTGCTTCACAGAACAATAGTGAATCGTCTGCAACTGTAAATGAGTCAACAACACTCCCTCACGGCCTACCTTCACCCTTTTAATTAGGTTTAACCCACAAGCTCTACTCAACAAAAGATGCAAGCCTTCTGCAACTAGATTAAATAGAAAGGGAGATAGCGGATCACCTTGTCTTAGGCCCCTTTGGGGGCTAAACTCTTCAGTAGGAGATCCATTAACAAGCACTGAAACTCTTGCCGTAGTTACACACTCCTTCATCCAGTTGATCCACTTAGCACCAAAACCGAACTTAGACAACATAGAGAATAGAAAACCCCAATTAATGGAATCATATGCCTTTTCAAAATCCAACTTAATAAGGACTCCCTTCCTCTTGGCTTTCTTCCAGCCTTCAATAACCTCATTTGCAATCAGCACACCATCTAAAATATTTCTACCACTAAGAAATGCAGACTGAGGCTCACTAATAATATGTGGCATAACAGATTTTAGTCTATTTGCCAAAAGTTTTTCTATGATTTTGAAGAGGGAGCCCACCAAACTTATGGGTCTATAGTTGGAAAGCCCAGAAGGATTGTCCCGCTTGGGGATAAGGGTTATAAAGGAACTGTTAATGCCTTTTACCAATCTGCCATTCCTATGAAATTCATTCACAAAAGTAACAACCTCACCCTTCATGACCTTCCAAAACTTCTGAAAACACAACATATTAAAGCCATCGGGTCCGGGTGCTTTATTACCATCACACTCCATCACTACTAGTTTAATCTCTGCTTCTAAAAATTCTGTTTCTAACAGATCAAACCTCACTCTACCATCTGCTGATGGAAAATGACCCCCCAATTCAGGTCTTTTTGGCCAGAGTTCCGTATACTGGTTTTTAAAGTATTCCATCACCTTGTTCTTCACTTGCCTCGGCTCTTCATACACCACGTCCCCTTCTGTAATGGAATGTAATTCATTTCTTATTGTTCTGCACTTTGTGACCACATGGAAGAACCTTGTATTCTTGTCTCCTTTCATCGCCCAGTTAAGCCTAGACTTTTGCAGCCATAGCCACTCCACCATCCTACTCAAACTCCACATTTCAGCTCTAATTTCACATCTCCTGCCCTTTTCATCATCATCAAGGTCTCTAGCCTCAGCCAGTAGATCAATTTTGTGAAGTTCACCCTCTACAGTCTTCAATTTGTTTACAATATTACCAAAAACCTCCACATTCCAGCTTCTCAGGCCACTTTTCAAGATCTTCAACTTCTGAATAAGAATAAACCCAGCCCAACCTTCAACCCTGGACTCCTTCCACTTTGACTCCCAGAAGCTCCGAAAATTTTTATACAAAAACCAAGCATTCAGGACCCTAAAGGGCTTTGGACCCCAGTCCCTCTCATCCTCCATCATAAAAAGAGGGCAGTGATCAGAGACCAGTCTTGGTAAACCCCATAGCTTTAGGTTAAATATCTCAAGCCATTTAGGATCTACAAAAATTCGATCAATTTTGCTCCACTTTTCCCCACCAAATGAATTACACCAAGTGAATCTCCTCCCAAGTAGTGGTAAATTAGATACCTCACACTTGTCAATGAACTCATTAAACTCTTTCATGCCCCTATCTCTCCTGGAGTATCCTCTCCTATCCTCAATCTGCCTAATCTCATTGAAATCTCCTCCTAAGCACCAAGGATTTGGGAATTCCTCCTTCAATTTCAATAGACAGTCCCACAGATTCCCTCTTGAGCCCACATCATTAGGAGCATAAATATTTAAAATAGCACAATTAAATTGGTTAAAGATGGTACCTGATAATAAGATAAATCTTCTATTGCTACAACATTCTGTTAGTTGGAAGACATCTGGGTCCCATATGCACAGTAATCCCCCAGCAGAGCCTACAGCATCCACCACCATAAACTCCATTTTGTCTCAGACCCACACAGATCTAACTTCATCCTCTGTTAATTCTGCCTTTTTAGTTTCTTGGAACAACACAATATCTATATTCCTCTCCTTCAGGAGCTTCTTAACTTTGCCTCTTTTCTCCTTCCTCCCCAACCCTCTAACATTCCATGAAAGAATCTTCATAAATAACCATGAGAGCTCTAATACATCCCCCCAGCTGGTGTCCATCAGACCCCATCTCTCACCCCCCCTTCAATTTGTTCCTTGTCCTTCAATTCAAGGTTCACAATCTTCTCCAACACAGCAGCTCGCTTACCATTGAACTGCACACCAAGAACTTCCCCCATCTTGAGAGTTTCTTCAGCTTCATTGAGGGTGAACCTCCCCTTAACAGTTCCACCCTCCATTGATGCATATGAGGACCTTGCCGCCACTGCTGCCCCCCATACTGCAGCCCTGGGCATTGCTCTACTGGTTGAAGCCCCTTTGCTCCCATACTTCCTTAACAGGTCGAAGGACTTTTTCCCCAGAAAAGTGTGGTTTGATTTTCTCCTACTTCTTGTCTTCTCCTTCCCTTGTGTAGGCCTTGAAAGACTGCTGCTGGGCTCCTTGTCATGGGCCTCAGAAAGGCTTGACACTCTCCCATCTAGCCCACCCACAACAGCCTTCTCTGTAGTAATTAACTCCTGGGGTTCCAAGACTGGAGCCTCATCCGATCCATAACATTCATGGGTCGATTTCAAATCCACAATTAACTTAAGCCCACAGTCTATGTTTACAGGCCCAGATAGAGTTTTAATCAATCCAGAAGTTTGAATTCCAACTTCACTATCATCAACGGCTCTTCTCTTGGGACTCGCCAGCAGTCTTGCAGAACTCTCATGACATACGTAGCCGATTTCTTCTGACATGCCTTTCTGCAGATCTGATTCAGCCACCATCGAAGTGTCTCTGAGCTGGTCATCTTCCACCATGGTGTTGCTGCTATCGTGTGCTTGAACTGTTGCATGATCAACCCCTTCTATATGCTTGCTCCCTCTATCTACAATCTGATTGCCCATTGCTGTAAGAGTACTATTTCTGATTCCACCAAGATGTTCTTCAGATGAATGGCTGAGACCGGGCATCTTCATATCTTGGATGATAATGATTTGTTCCTCGCACACCCTAACTGGGTAAAGGACGCCCTTGTATTCTAATCTGAGTAATTGATTAATAGGATCCGTAAAGTTTGTCGCAATCTGCACTTTTCCACATTGGAAATGATTTAAGTTATGAGTATCCTCATCCAGAGCAGTCACCATACCCCACATCTTACCAATGTTAATGAAGGTGTTGCAACTCCAAAGATTTAGTGGAACTCCATAGCAATTGAGCCAAACCTTCCTCTCTTGGGTAATTGACATCCCCTGTTTCCATTCAAGGACTGAATCACACCATTCATCTAGCCAGCTCCTCATTAACAGAAGTTTTTCCTTCATAATTTCCTAAGGATATATATATATATATAAGTGTTTTTTCAAGTTTCGTTGTATATCTTCTTCTTTATAGTTGATAAGACTATTGAGTCATCAAGTTCAGATAGAGCCAAAGCCAAACAGGTGCAGCAGCCAAGGCTGCAGCCACAATCACAACAAGAGCAACTGCAGCCAAGGCTGCAATCTCAGATGCAGCTCACGCACAAGTGTGCTCACATGCATTACTTATGTAAAGCATCTAATGTAACTGATGAGAGATATAGATATAGAAATAAGATTTGTATTAGTGGTGGTTAGATATGGTGTTGGAACAATCTTCTGTGTAAATAAAATAACTTAAAATAATTCAAACAAAATAAAATAAAACTTACAGAATTTATTTTGTTGAACCGAATCAATAATTTAAAGACCAAGTCGAGTGTGTGACACTTTGTCCTTAAGACAGATTCGCCCCGCTACGGTGCTTACGGTTATGTGGCGTCTATCTCCCAGGATACAATGATCTTCACACATTTGTAGTAGCACTTCAAACAAATTTGTTCGACGAACCAGAACCTTGTGTTCTATAACTCTTTGAAAATTTTCCTAAAATAATATGAAGAATAAAGGACGCAAGAGAGCAAAATGAAAGCAAGGAAAATGAATTTTCGGAATCCATCAAAATTGGAATGGGGTTGCCTTTATATAGGCTTTGTTGGCACCTATTCAATTTGAATAGAAAAGGTATGAAGAAGGGACATACCCCTTCCTTTAAATTAAAGAGACACCATGAAAGGTTTGCACCCTTTCATTCAATGGAGGTTTGACCCTTCCTTTAAAACAAAAAGACACCATGAAAGGTTACACCCTTTCATTCAAAATGGAGTCTATTTCAATTCACAACTACCTCTTTATAAATTTTCCAACAATCCCCCACATGAATGAAATTGACAGAGAGAAAATGCAACAACATGATGTAAATACAGAGAGTACAGAAATTGGAAATAATCTGCAAAGGATAGGTAGCTTTTGGCTTTGAACCTTCCCTTGTGAGATACTATCGGATTTACTAGCTAACCAGTGAACATGATGTCTTGAACTGTTCAGCCGTTTGTGTAAACCAACACAATAGAACTCACACAGTATATCTCCAAACACAGTTTAGTTCTCACTATTGTGTTCATTTTGGCCCTGAACAACCTGGTCTTTCATGAGTGCTTTAAAGACTTGTAGCCCTTCACAAATCTTATAGAACCGGCCCAGTTCACACTCACATAGGTGATTCTTATGAAAAGTATCCTGTCATACTCCACTAGGTTTACCTAGATATAAGAATCATTAAAAGTATTCCTTAACCTAAACCGCTGTAGACATCACTATTTTATCAAAGAAATGGGTAGGAGATAAACTCCCCAGTGATCCTTCTGAGTCATTCACAACTCGGTTGTCCCTTTGAACCTAGATCTTGGGATCTCCAGTCAACTAGGTTGGGTTGCCGTTGTAGTAACTCTTATTTAATAGGCTTTAGTCC